TTTTTTTTTTTTTTTTTTTTTTTTTTTTTTTTTTTTTTTTTTTTTTTTTTTTTTTTTTTTTTTTTAAAGACAGAGTCTTGCTCTGTTGCCCAGGCTGGAGTTCAGTGGCATGATCTCAGCTCACTGCAGCAACTTGCGCCTCCTGGGTTCAAGCAATTCTCCTGTCTCAGCCTCCTGAGTAGCTGGGATTACAGGTGTGCGCCACCATGCCCAGCTAATTTTTGTATTTTTAGTAGAGATGGCATTTCACCATGTTGGCCAGGTTGGTCTTGAACTCCTAACCTCAGGCGATCCACCCACCTTGGCCTTCCAAAGTGCTAGGATTGTAGGCATGAGGCACCGCACCCGGCCTAGAACCTTTTACATGCTCACGAGTATTGAGTCTTTTCAAGAGACTGACAGATGATGTGTTTCTCAAAATGACAACGCAGCCCTGTTTTCAAGGAGTATCTGCTATTTGTTTCTGACAATACCTTGAGAACCTAGATGGCCAAAGAACATCACATTTTGCTTTCCAATACACTGTGTGTCTCTTGCAGTCTGTTGCTTGTTTCACTGACTCTTTTCTAATCACCGTTTTTCTTGCTTCTCTGTCTCTCGCCTCTGCTTTTTCCTCTCGTCCTCTCTCCGTCCCCTCCCTTTTATCCCCTTGAAGTCTTCATTATCCTCATCATCTTCCTCTCATCCCGGCCCCTCCCGCTGTCTTCTCTCCTTTCTCTTCTTTGAAAGCATATGATGTCATCGAATGTCCAGTTTCATTAGGCCAACAAATATTTGGTAAGTCTGTTCTAAGTGAATTCTCTGAAGGCACAAAATGCAAAGCGGAAGTCACTGCAGTGTGATTCCCGAGAGCCCCTCATCGTACCATCTTTGCAGCATGCCTTCTTGGCCACCAGCCTTTGCCAGCCTTTCCTCTGCCATCCAGTTAGCCTTTCTGGTATGGTCTGAATGTATCCCCCAAAGAGCATGTGTCGGAAACTTAACCCCATTGCAGCAGCGTTTGGAGCTGAGGCCCAGTGGGAGGTAGGGAGGGCTCCACCCTCGTGCCTAGTTAAACAGGATCATCAATTTTTGAGCCTGAGGCTGCCGCTTCAGTCTCTTACTCTCTCATGCTCTCTTGCCTTTCTACCTTCCATCACGGGATGATGCAGCAGGAAGGCCCTCACTGGATACAAACCCTCAACCTTGAACTTCTTAGCTTCCAGACTGCGAGAAAGAAATTTTTGTTCTTTATACATTATCCAGTGTTTGGTATTCTGTGATAGCCCCACAGTGCGGAGTAGGACACGTTTCTTTATGATCAACCTCTTCAACCCGCCCTTAGCTAGAGGCTGTTTCTCACCAGCCAGATCACTTTGATGTTTCTCATTTTCTCTACTTTAAAATCTTTGCATGCAGATTACGTGAACATTTGTCTATAGTCTGCCTTAAACTGTTTAAAGGACATGTTTGTTTTTTATCTCAAACAAAGAAAGGCAGAATCCACATCTCTTCTTCTTCTTCTGCCCCTTTGGTCCACAGCACATTGCTGAGCACACAGAGACACTGGCTGTGAGGTGGGGCTGGCTCCTTTGGTGGGGACAGTGGGGACCTTATTGATACCCAGGGCAGGTTTGCCTGTTCCTGCTGGCCAGGCAGGAAATGTTCAATGAATAAGTGAATCCCTATTGTTTTTTATGTTCTTTGGAGAATGACAGTTTTTCTTTTATCATAATCCCTCAAAAAATATAAAGAATGTAGATGTGGTTTTTGGGGAAGCATCTAAAGCCCAGACAGGCTTCTACTGACTCAGGGTTAGGAAACCACATTTGTGTTCCTGGTGGGACATGAACTAGCTCAGTGTCACTGGCTCTGAAGCAGTAACCTGCTGTGGATTTAGAAGCTTGACTTTCTAGTTTGGTCTCTTTCTATGGGCCTGCTGATGTTTTTGTGAATTGATGATAATATTGACTTGAAAAATTGGAGCATTAGAATTAGTTGGGAAATGCTTTATCTCTTTTTAAAATCAACTTTATTCAGGTAAGGCTTACCTACAATAAAATGCACGTATGTTAAGTGTATTTTATAATAAGTTTTGACAAATTTATGGATACACATAATTACTATAACAATTAAGATTATATATACTGTGCTGTCCAGTACAGGAGCCACTAACCACAGGTGGCTATTTCAAGTCTAATAAGCAAAAATTAACTTACATGAAAAATGTCCTCAGTTTTACTATAGCCACATGTGACTGTTATCCAGCATTTTGGATAGTGTAAATGGAAGACATTTTCACCCTCGCAGAAAGTTTTGCAGTGTTGTATGATGATGATGTAAAACATATCCATCCTGCCAAAAGGCTCCTTCATGCTCTTTCCCAAATAATCACCAACCCCTAAACCTGGCCTTAGGAAATCACAGGTCTGATTTTTGTCACTACAAGTTAGATTCTTGCCTTCTGGAGCTTCATACAGAAGTTCTCTTTATTTGCCTGGCTTTCATTCAGCGTGTCTGAGGTTGATCTGCTCAGTTGTTACGTGTCTAATTTGTTCACTCCTTTTCATTGCTTAATAGTATTCCATTGCATAAATAGACCACAATATACTTATCTACTCACCTGCTGATGGCTTTTGGGTTGTTTCCAGTTGGCACAATTATGAATAAAGCAATTAGCTTTTTATATAGATATATGTCTTCATTTTTCTTGGGTAAATACCTGTAATTGGGATTGCTGGGCTATGTTGAAATCATATGTTTAACTTTATTAGAGATTGCCAAACCATTTTCCAAAACGATTGTACCATTTTACATTCCTACCAGCAACGGAGGAGAGTTCCATTCGTACCAGTTATTACTGGTTTTGTTTTGTTTGCTTGTTCTATTAATTGCTGAGAGATGAGTGTGGAAACCTCTACCTATCATTATAGATTTTCTATTTGTCCTTTCTGTTATGTCAGTTTCTGCTGCATGTATTTTGAGACTTTGTGATTGGTGCATACACATTTAGGAATGTTTTGTCTTCTTTATTAATTGATTCCATTATCATGAAATGCTCCTCTTTGCCCTTGTTCTGAATTCTACTTTGTCTGTTAATATTATAGCTGCTCTGGTTTTTTAAGAAAAAAGTTAGAATGCACATAGTACATCTCTTTCTATCCCCTTGTTTTTAACTTATCTGTGTATTTTTATTTCAAGTGAGCATCTTTTACATAGCACATAGTTGGTCTTACATTTTAAAATCTAGTCTGAGGATTCTAACTTTTAATAGGAGTACCTAAACCATTTACTTTGAAAAAATTGAGGAAGAATAAACTGTATGTATTTAAAGTGTACAATTTGAAGAGGTTAGGCGTGCATACAGCTGTGAAACCATCACCATAATTAAGACAATGGACGTTGCTTTCATTCCCAAGTTTCCATGGACTCCTTTGGAATCCATTGCTTCCACCATTTGTCTCTAGGCAACCACTTATACGCTTTCTGTCACTATGGGTTGCTTTACATTTTCTAAAGTTTGTATAAATGGAAACATAGCATAGGTACTCTTTTTGTCTGGCTTCTTTTTTGTGTCATAATAGTTTTGATGTTCATTCATGTTGACTATTTGTTGCAATATTTTTCCTTTTGATTTCTGTGTAGTATTCCACTGTGTGGATATACCATAGTAATTTTATTCATTCACATAGATGAATGAACATTTTGGGTTCTTTCTAGCTTTTGCTGTTACAAATACAGCTGTTATAAATATTCTTATATAAGTCTTCGTATGGACATATGTTTTTATTTCTTTTGGGTAAATATCTAGAAGAGAAATTGATAGGTCATATGATAGACAGAGATTTAACTTTTTAGGAAATTGCCAATCTATTTCCCATAGTGTTTGTACCATTTAACGTTCTTACCAGTGATGTACAAGAGCTACGTTTGCTCCCCTTTCTTGCACCAACACTGGGTATGTTTTGTCTTTTTAATTTTAGTGATTCTATTTAGTGTGGTGTTTATTTACTTTTCCATTTACCTACATATGTCTTCTTTTATAAGGTTTTTTCTACAAATTTTTGCCAAGTTAAATAAATTTAGTTGTTTGTCTCCTAAGTCTGATATAAGTCCTTGGCTGATAGATGTGATGTATTTCCTCCCATTCTCTGCCTTGATTTTTCGTTTTCTTAATGATATCCTTAGAAGAATAATAGTTTTTAATTTTGATGAAGTCCAATTTATCATTTTTTTTCTGAGTTAAGTTTTTAAAGTGTTTCAAATGTGGAACTTTTGTCTACCTAAGATCACAGAGATTTTCTCCTGCGTTTTCTTCTAGGAATTTTAAATTTTACATTTAGGTCTATGATCCATTTGGGTTAATTTTTGGGTAGAACATAAGATGTGTATTCATTTTTTTTTCATAGATCTAGCTGTTCCAGCACCATTTTTTTTCAGAAGACTTTTCATTTCCTCATTGAAGTGCCTTGACATTTTTGTCAAAAATAAGTTAATATGTGTGGGCAAAATGGTACTAGATATATTGAAATAATTTGTTTGTCTGTACCTCTCAGTGGGATACCTGAATGAAAGAGTGGGCCAGCCATTAAAATTATAATTCACATGGTTATGAATCTCTTAATTTCATTAAATATGCTTTGCTTTTAATTATTTATGACTATTCCAAAATAAATAGAACAATTTCCTTTGATTTTAAAAACCACATGAATGGTAATACCCATATTACAAAAGCAAATTATCCCACGTTACTGAATGTGTGGGTTCTTTTGGTGAACATAAGCCTCGTTCCAGATATTTGAATTTGATAATGTTCACAGATTCCAGAATTTTCTTTGAATGTAAATACACCTGGAAGTGACATATATATAAAAACAAAACAAAGCCCTCAATTTTTCTAAAAAAATTCTGACCTATAGCATTGATAAAATAATCATAATTTAACTTTTTATATTAGGAGTGCCAAAGTAAGCCAATATTTCATTCTGTGACAGAGGAATATGAAAAAGAAAACCCAGTGGTTATGAAAACAGAGATCTAAAAATTTAATGATTTAAAAATAGCCTTTACATACAAGATGGCAAGGAGTTATACAGATTGAAGATTTTGGTTTTAAAAATGCGAAATGTCTCCACTTAGAGTAGATCAATCAAGTCAGCCATCTCCTAAGAAATACACATCATACCATGAAATCTACAAAGACACACTTTTTAACTTCAAGTGTTGTTGATTTTCAGCAACCCTCTCCCCACATACACATTTCCTTGTCATGTAACGTATGACTTTTAGTCTTTTTTTGGCAGAGTAGGACTTTGAAAATTATAATAGCAATTGTTTTGAAAAGCACCTTCTATGATCATTTATTTCCACTGATTTTTTTAAAATCACGCTGAGATTATACATTCTTGTTTTTTTAATCATTTTTTTTTGTTGTTGTTCTAATGATTTAGTTGTTTAAAACAAGCAAGCTTAATTCAATCAGGCATATAATGCAAATAAAAACATGTTTCCAAACAGGCTGGAATAAAAATGCTAAATAGGAACTGGACCAAAAGATCATAGATAACGTGCTTCTTCTCTTGGTAAGGTGTGAATGCATTTACCCATGGGGTAGCAGTATTTCACTTGCCCCATGAAGAACCTGATGGCTTGTGGTGTCTGTGCTGTGTCAATACTAACCGGTGTGAGGAGACATACAATGGAATGGATGCTGTGACTACCTGTGACATAGCGGTAGGGGTTATACACACTGGTCACACGAAGGTGTAAAAACTGGATGGACTCTGTGTAACTAGCCACTCTGAGTGTCAGGTCTGTATATGTGAGTTTTAAAGAAGGTGCAAGACCAAGCAATAAATTCCCTTAGAGAGCAGGATATGTCCTGATGGCTCTATAGTCCCATGATCAAGGACCTGGCCAGTTTTCCTCAGGTAATGGGGATAGTAGCACCAAAGTGAATGTGAAGAGTCAGAAAGGCCTCTACTTGCAACTGGCAGATCAAACCATTCCCCTGTTTTGGTGAACAGTCATAATCTGATATGTCTTTGTGAATCCTTGCTGCAAATACAGTTTTTACAACTCAAAAAACATCTTTTGGAAAACCTCATGGCAGAATTGCTCAAAAATGCAGAAGATCCAATAGCCCCAGGGGGGCAGTTGCTCTCCTTTTACTGTAGCTCTCTCAGTATTGAAACAACCCAACCCTAACTGTGGTCCTGGCCTCTAAACACACAGGTCTGTCCTCCCTCCAGCACCTGAAATATCAGAGCTTGGATTCACCTATATATTCTGAAATTTGCTCTGCAAGAGGGCTTTTGGGCACTTGGCGATCGTGTGTTTACGATGGTCAATTGTGAAGAGTTTTTAAAACAAGAATAAGTCATGCTGTGCCTCATCATTTGGAAGGTGAACACCTGCAAATGTACGTGCTTCCCAGATTTGGCAGAGCTAGGCTCAGAATCATTACAAGTACATGGAGAACAATATTATAACCAGCTGGCATGTTTTTAACAACAAAAACATGCAGCTTTAGAAGGTGCTTACTAAGGTGCTTCTTAACTCACGTTTTTTTTTTTTAATGAAATACATCAGACAAACATCTACAAACAAACATGAATATACAGGCATACACACGCATGTGGACAAGTTTCTGTACAGTTTATGTCTTAGATACGTCTATGTATACATAAGAACCACTCAGGGGGGAAAAAAAGATTTCCCTCTCCAGCTCCCTGAATTTCTGAAAGTTGTCTAACCCATAAAATGTTAAAATATTTCATTTTCATATAAAATATCTACAAAAATAGATAACATTTACAAAAACCAGATAATATTTCCAGTTTTCCTTAGTAACCATTAACACAGTCCCCTTCCTCTTTTTTTCTTCTCAGAATGTTGCCATCTCCAGCAAAGAGCGCTTGAACAGCTGGGCATTTCTAGAAAGGTCTGTCACTTGGTGCACCATTTCCTGCAGGGCTGTGGTGCTGGGGTAATGGAGGGCGGCCATCTTGGTTGCCATGACTATAGTCTTGAGCTGCTCGCAGAGCTGGTTGCTGGAGTTCATCACTTTGTTGCGAATGTCCTGGGCAGTCACCTGCCGTGTCAGCGTGTCTCCAATGAACACCAGTTTGTGTGCACTGAGAATGACAAACTTGCTGTGTGCCACAAAGATTCGTGGGGGCTGGGCTGAGCTGACACAACTGAAGAGCGCGTCGATGGCGTTGAGAAGGGAGATGAAATGGGTCTCACATTGGTCATAGTAGAAGCACAGCAACTGCCGATCCTGGGCACTCACGCCGCTGTTTGTGGGGGGCAGGCTCTGAGAGGGCTTCCACTTCGAGATGTCATTCTCCACGGGCTTTGTAATCTCTTGTTCCAACAGCTGGAACTGGCTCAGCTGGAAGGAAGACAAAGTAGCTTTCATTAGGACAAGGGAGTGTGGTGCAATGCAAATTAACCAGGTCTTGGAGTTAAAAGACGGGGGCTTTAGTCCCTAACAACTGTCAGATGCATGTGAGTGGGGCAGCCTGGGTCAAGCTGCCATGCTTTCCCAAACTGTAAAATGTAGACGTTGAGATAGATGATCCTCCAGCTCGGACCTTCTATGATTGGACCACTGGTCTCTTGTACCCCACGGCTAGAAGGCAACATAGGGTTTAAAGCACAGCCCTGCTACCTACACCTTTATGGAGGTTAAATGAGTTAAAGTTTACAAATTGCCTAGAATAGTTTGGTATGGAGTAGGTGCTATATAAATGTTTATTAGTGTTGAGTGGTGGTATGGGAAAACCAAATGTAGTGACCTCTTGTCAGGTAAGTTACTGACAGTTTGCTCCTTCTTGGGGAAAGTCTCAACTATCTCAGGATGCTCAGATGAAATGACCATTCCTGACCCCTTTCTATTTATCTGTCAAGATTGATAGACATGTTATGTCCCAGCACTACATGAAGACTAATGCATATAAATATTAAGCCCTTAAGGAAAAAAAAAACCTTTCTAAGGAAGTCTGAATGGGAATTGTGCATCATAATATTTAGTCCCCCAGAGCTGTTAAAAGAAGAGGGCCTCACCCAGAGTCAGATGCATGAGGTGTTGGCTTTTCTCATTGCTCCCAAATGGTATATTATTTAAATTGCAATTATGATAATTTCTAGCGATTCCATTAAGACTCAGGAGACACCTGTCTTTTGCAGGTAAGTACTCTCTGTGACCTGAGCTTAGGACTCAGTTAATCTTCCACCTGGAGGTAGGGAGGAGCTGGAGCAGTGATCACCTCACGAAATGCATGGCCAGCTTTACTTTTCTGGAATCCGTTTTCTTCTTAGGCATTGCTATGGTTTCAACAAGTTCCCCAGAGCCCTGCCGTCTTACCTTGCTAGATGCCAAGGCAAACACAAACAGGTACAAGGTGATATTCCAAGGCATTTAATCATAATAGATTATATTTAATATATCTTAGGCAAATAGGTTCATCAATGTATCAGGTCATTAGATTGGGGAGGTGTACTTTCCCATTATATAGAGAAGTAACTGAAGTTTGGGGAGGTTACGTAGTTGGTTGTACTTGACATGGTTGGCCAGAAAGAATTAGAACTCAGATTTCCTAAACATAGCATGTCATTTCATGTCATTATATGCCATTTTACTTCATTTCATCTTAAAAGCCTTGCAAATAAATCCTCAAGCCATCTCTCTTTATTTTTGTGCCCTTTTCCTAGCAATACTCATTATCTGCCCTACTCATACCCAACTTTTGAATGAACATGCCCTGCCCAAAGTCCTCGGTAGACAGGCCTGGAGATAGTTGAAAACATTGAATTCTGCTCCCTACTCTTAGACTGGACCAAGGCCAGCCAAACCATAGGCTTGTGATGCTGGCGAGAGAGACACAAATAGGCGGAGACAGACAGAGAGAGAGAGGTACACACACACACACACACACACACACACACACACACACACAGAGAGAGAAATGGCCCAATCAAAATAGCCCAATCAGACTCTTTCTTAGGAATCTGACGAACCACAGAAAGGAGCTAACCATCGGAAGAGGAAACTGAGATGAGAGGCCATCTATAGAAAAAGCTCTGAGTGGCCATTTATGAGTTCTGCGAAGTTACAGCCAATAAAGCAGAGGAAACCAGAAAATAGGGGAGAGTGAAGTGGATGTATAGAAAGAAGCAAAGGAAGTACAAGAAGGAGAGAGAATTAACAGTTCTAGTTCTTACCAGACCTAGCTCTGTCTTCATTTTCTGTTACTGAATTCCCTCACTATGGCTTTCCTATAAACCTGTTTGCCTAGGTTAGCTTGAATGGGTCTTGTTTCTTGAGACCAAATGCCTTAACGTAAATAGTCCTCATATGTTAGAATATGCAGGTTTAGCATTTAAAAAACTACCGTTTAGAAATAACCCTGGTACACTCAGATGAACTAGCAAGGTCATAAACCTTCTCTTTGCTTTTAAACCTCATTCCATGCTTTGGAGCTGATTCCGCCAGTGAGCTGGAAGAATCAAAATCATCATCTCTAGAAGCTACACTTTTCCTTAGTACCAGGTGGGAAATCTTTCCAACGCCAAGCAGGCTTTGCTCTGATTGAACTTACCTGATGATGTTCCAGCTGCATCTTGTTCTGTTTGATGATATTCTCTTTTTCCAATAGTTCTTTCTGTTGCCTCTCAAACTCCTCCTTACCCTGTTAATTTTCAACATAAAGAACATATTATGTCATCACTGTGATTCACTTATGCTAACAAATTCATTGACAGATGAGTAAATACTCTTTATTTTCCACTGCCTCGGCAACATCTAATACCCAGTGAGGCACTGTGAATCCTAGACAGGGACGGCAGAAAAATAAAACCCATTCCCATACAGGGTGCCAGCTTTCTGGGCAACCTTACCATTTTCGGAGAGCTACTCCTGATTCCCTTCAAATCTCCTATATAAATGTACTATTCTGCTGGGTTCTTTTCTAATAGATTATATGTGAACCTGTAAACCTCCAAACACAGGTCTAAATGTGGTCCACTTCTCACTTCTAGTTCCCTCAAATCATCTGTAGATCTCTGCTCCAAAGCAGTGTTTCCCACTGTGCAGACTTAGACAAGCAGTAACGTGAATGTTCAATGCCTCCATCCTTCTCTCTCCACTCCCTACCTCAGCACCAGGTGAGGCTCAGTTCTCCTTCCCACACTTTTTTGCACTCAAGGGAATTGGGTATAATAGTACATAGTTCTTAGTATAATCTGTGACTCTGTCAAATTAAAAGAAAGGTAGCATAAGATAGTAAGCCTAGGCCAGGCACGGTGGCTCACACCTGTAATACCTGCACTTTGGGAGGCTGAGGCGGGCAAATCACGAGGTCAGGTGATCAAGATTATCCTGGCCAACATGGTGAAACCCCATCTCTACTAAAAATACAAAAATTAGCCTGATGTGGTGGCATGAACCTGTAGTCCCAGCTACTCGGGAGGCTGGGGCAGGAGAATTGCTTGAACCCAGGAGGCAGATGCTGCAGTGTGATAAGATGGCACCACTGCACTCCAGCCTGGGTGGCAGAGTGAGACTCTGTCTCAAAAAAAAAAAAAATAGTAAGCCTTAGTCCTAAATAATGGATCTTGGTAGAATGTTTTAATCCCTCAAGGTGGAAGGGACAACTGTCAGAATCCCAGGTCAACTTGGAGCTTGCTGGAATTCCCACCTGTAGGAGGCCAACTTGACAGTCCAATGTCCCATATGTAGATTAAGCTCCAGGGACAACTAGCAAATGTGCAGTGGTCCTCTAGGTAGTCTGAGATGGGGCTAAGTTTTAAAGCAATTACACAAACACACACAAAGTAGCTACCAGGGGCCTTGGAAAATCTCTAGTGGAAAGGTTTTCTATTCTTTTTCTTAATGATGAAAACATTTTTTTTTTCAAATAAAATGTTATATGGAACCATACCTAAAACACAAATAGAAGTGGAGCTGGTATTATTATTAGAGAGCCTGCTATCCTACTTGGTGAGTCTCCTCTTGCCTGGGACCTAATCCAAACCCTTACACCATTCATTTTGCACATGAGGAAATGAATGCCCAAGGAGGCTGAATATGTTGGTCACACAGTAAGTGTCAGGGAAAGGGCTAGAGCTGAGTGAGTGTTCAGGACCCTCAGTCCAGTGTTCTCCCTACTCTACAACACGCCCTCCAATTTATGAACCACGTGGATTAACATTCATCAGCTTCGCTCCTTTGGTAGTCCAACCCGACAGCCTCACAGGCATCTGTCTCAGGCTCCCTGCATGTGAGTGAGCCTAGGTGTTTCATGAGTTTGGTTGCTTTACCTGTAGGTGGACATAATCATAGTCATCCATCCAGCTCCTCTCAGAACCATCACTGCTGCTACAGTCAGGGGCCTGCTCCTTGCCCAGGCCCGGGGGCAGTGCCTTGGAGTGGGCCTGGGCCTTGTGGTCACCAGGATGCAGCAGCTGTACCTGGGGGCTGCCATGTGGGTACTCTGTTGAGTTCATGATGCTCTCCGGCCCATTCTTCAGATGCAAGCTGCCAGGGCCGGGTTTAAAGAGGGTCTCTGCATTGGTGTTGATGGTTGTGGTGAGCTGCTTGGCGTCATCGGGCACTGTCTTTGCCACCATCACAAACCGGTCTAGATCATCACACTTGTTCTGGGGCTTGTTGATGGCCAGGATATTCAGGGACCAGCTACACTCATTTAGGTGGTGGCTGGTTTGACTCAGGATCTGGTGGGAGTCTTCGACTCTTTGCAGCTCCCGCTTCATCTTGTTGTGGAGGAGGAGTTCTGGGAGGCAGGAAGCATTTGCGACGGCTCCCTTGACAAAGTGGAGGTACTCCTTCAGGAACAGTTCCACCTTCTCCACCGACGTGCGTATCTCATTGATGTGTTTTTCCATATATCCGTAACACCGCCAGTCGGTGGTGACCAGTGCCATTAGGCTGGAGACACCCATCTCCAGGGCCTGCTGGAGCCGTTGAAGTCTCTCGATAGCTGTGTCTGGATCCAGCAAGAGCCTTTTGTCCTGAGCTGGGGAGGATGACAGCGAGGACTCCTTGGAGGAGGTGGAAGATGTGGACATGTTACTCCGGGTGCTGCCCGTGCTGGAGAAAGACAATCGGTTGATCCCATCCACCAAGTCCCGAGAGCCTTTAGTGTCTGGTGGATTATGCAGAGGGACATCATAAACACCATCTCTTTCTTGGGGGTTTGGTTTCTCACTGGTTTCTGCTGGTGGCTCAAGAAACTGAATGCCTCGGGGGACGTCATATGCGTCATTCTGAGGGCCCACTGACTGTCCCAGTTGTGGAGGTGGGTGATTCGGGGATGGGCTCTGGTGCCTTCGAGCCACCAGTTCTGCAGCTCCTGGAATGTCACAGTTGTATTTTACATGAAGGTCCTTCCCTGCTGGCTTGGTACTGGTTGGGGGAATGTCATAAACCCCTTCTGGTCTGAGGTCCGGCCTTCCAGCTTGTCTCATGGGAGGGGGGAAGTCATAGTCTTTTTCCCTAAGCCCTGCTTCATCCCGGCAAGCAGAGGGTGGAATGGCGTATACCTGAAAAGCGAGTAGACAGCAAAATGCTAGTTATCCAGTTGGCTCATGGGAACGTGCGATCCCATGTTCTCCGTCCTATCTGCTGGCACTTTTTCGGTCGCCCTCCCCTGTCCCCAATGTTACGTACTTCCAAGGTTCCCCACGATTCTGGTGTCACTTCCCTTGTCCTTTGACAAGTGTGTCCACCCCCACATTCTTGGTGTGGACTCCTATGTGGAGCCCTCCTGGCGAAATTGCCCACTCCTGTGTTCCAGTCCTATGTTTCTGACTACCTCCTGGGCATCCTCCTGCTGATCTGTGCCGAGAGGCAGAGTAAGACCGGAGTAAGTCTCCCCCTGTCTCTTTGGTCATCACAGCAGCTGTGTGATGCTGAACGAGCTGCACAGGTGTCTGAAACACAGTCCCCTTGTCTGTAAAGTAGGGATTACCACGCTTCCTGTGCAGGCATACCCCAGAGGGTAACAGAGTGAGTCAAACGAGTTCACCTGAACATACAGACTGAGAAAACTGTCAAACTCTCTACAGGCTAGGTGCAGTGGCTCATGCCTATAATCCCGCCACTTTGGGAGGCCAAAGTGGTAGGATACTTGAGGTTGTATGTTCAAAACCAGCCTGGGCATCATAGGGAGATGCCATCCCTATAAAAAATGCAATTTAGGCAGGCATGGCAGCGTGCACCTGTGGTGTCAGCTACCTGGGAGACTGAGGTGAGAGGATTGGAAGTCAAGGTTGCAATGAGCTATGATTGCGCCGCTGCACTCCAGCCTGGGTGACAGAGCGAGACCCTGTCTCAAACAAAACAAAACAAACCCTCTACAAAACAAACCCAACCCTCTACAAATGCAAATATACAAATACCCTATCCCCCAACTCATTAAGTTCCCTGCCCAAGGGTTCTCCTTATTGGCCTCCCGATTTTTTTTAGTTGGGGCTCCTCAAGATGAAATCCCTAGAGCTATCTTCAATTAGTGCCTTTTCTTTTTTGCTTCTTTCCTTTACTCTCACCAAGACTACTTTTTCCCCTTTTGGGTTTGCCCTTCTTTTTTTATTCCAATAAACTACCTACCTACCCTCCCAACCCCACACGCCCCCCACAGACGTGCAGATGCGTGCGCGTGTACACACACACACACACACACACACACACACACTCCTTTTTGCTGCTTTGTAGTCACTCACTTACCCCTTTTGTAGGTGGAATGTCATAGACCCCTTGAGGTTTTATCTCTCCCACTGGAACTGAAAACATAGGGCCTTTCACTGATGAGGGAGGGATGTCATATACCTGAAGAGAAACCCATGAGTTACCCAGAATGGAAATGTCTTATACTTTTCATTTTTTATGCTCCTAAGCACTTAATTATAGAGTTATTTACCAGGTTATGTACAAGCTTGATCTTTGGCAGTGCTCCACATTATAATGGATTGATTGTCTTTTTTTCTTTATACATTTTGTGGTTTTCAACTTAGATTGGATATAAAGATGATCTGATGTGAAATATCTACACTGTCCATACTTTAAAGTGTAGTTTAAATTTTGTACTTTCTGGCTGCTGGTGGTGGCTCACGCCTGTAATCCCAGCACTTCGGAAAGCTGAGGCAGGCATATCACTTGCCGTCAGGAGTTCGAGAGCAACCTGGCCAACATGGCAAAACCCCATCTCTACAAAAATACAAAAATTAGTCGGGTGTGGTGGCACGCGCCTGTGGTCCCAGCTACTCAGGAGGCTGAGGCAGGAGAGTTGCCTTAACCTGGTAGCTGGCGGTTGTAGTGAGCTGAGATCACGCCACTACACTCCAGCCTGGGTGACAAAGTGAGATTCTGTCTCAAAAAAAAAAATCTACTTTCTGAAGTAAAATTATGGAAGAACAAAAGCTCTCTCAGGTGAAATACTAGGATTTTTTGATAAAGCATATCCAGATAACATAATTTAAATAGTGTTGGCTAATGTGGCTACTGGGTAGACAACCTAAATAAAGCTTCATATGACATATATTAATACATAAATTGTGAACTTCCTTTTCTCTACAGCCCTGAAAGAACAACACCCCTAGGAGCTCTGCTCCTCTTGTGACCACGTTCTTGTACGCACCCCTTGAGTGGTATGGGAAGGAGGGATATCGTAGACGTCCTTTTGGTATCTGGATGGATATTCATATACGTAGCCATGACCTGTCCTCACGGGGGTTATCACCTGTGAGAGAAAACACACAGAGATGTAAATTTCCAAGCCTGAGTCCTTGATTTCCTTGCCTCCTAACCAGGCACTCATCCCTCAACTCTCCCTCACAAAAAGAAGGAAACCGAAGAAAGAAAACACAACAGGAAGGAGACAAGTAGACACCAGGTTAGTAAACTTTTAAAATCCCTCCTGAATCCCAATAAGAAACAAATCCCTAAAATATCTCTATCATCCTTCCTTGTGATCACAAAATCATCTCAAAGTACATCAGATAGGGTTGATGCACTATAAGCATATTTGGAAAATGTACCTTAAGGGAGACTTGTGTGAAACCTATGAAAGTTGTAGAGGAGCACTTTACATCTAAAGTGCCGCATAATGGCTGGGCGTGGGGGCTCACGCCTGTAATCCCAGCACTTTGGGAGGCCAAGGTGGGCGGATCACCTGAGGTCTGGAGTTCAAGACCAGCCTGGCCAACATGGCAAAACCATCTCTACTCAAAATATAAAAATTAGCCGAACGTGGTGGCACGTGCCTGTAATCCCTGCTACTCAGGGGGCTGAAGCAGGAGAATTGCTTGAACCCGAGAGGTGGAGATTGCAGTGAGCCGAGATCACGCCATTGCACTCCAGTCTGGGTGACAGGGCGAAACTCTGTCTCAACAACAGCAGCAGCAAAAAGTACTGCATACTGAAATTTGTTTTAAGGCTTTGAAACTATTTGTAAAATGAATAATGCAAATAGAGTTCAGCCACTTAAAATTCCTCTCCTGCCTTCCTCAGTAAGCCTCTTCATTGGACATTATGATGATGATTATACAGTAACTGTAATTCCATGGGTCATCAGAGTACTTTTACAAAGCCAATGCTCAAACCGGGCTATCCTCAAAACCTCTGGAAACTTTCAATCTAACTTATCAAACAAAACACTGAGCCAGGGAGGCACCAGGAACAGAGTTCAGGTCTCCTGACCCCTGGTCTCTAATCATTTTCCCATTTCCACCAGGAGAGAAAACATCCCCAACAGTACCTACGTCAAGGGATGTCAGAAGTCAAATAGCGTTCATCACGATGCTGGCATCTGGAACGAATACCAGTAAAACGAATGTTACCTAACAGCCTCCCGTTTTCAAATCTACATACTTCGTTGGTGTGCTAAGCACCAGCAAAAAAAAATTATTTGAACTTAACTCATTTTGAAATATATGTAATCCTCCAAAGGCTTCTAAATGGCCAGGGGGGTTCTTGTTTCTGTCTAACCCCCACCCCTCAAATCATTAACAGTGCCCATCCAAGCACTGCCCACGACATCTTTGAGAACAGACATTGCAAATTAGGAAGAGTTGGTTGTTCCCTAAGAAACCGTCATCTTTTATCTTTTCTCTGAAGTGAAAACTCTGGCGTCAGGCTGCCTACAAAACTATGTGAAAAATGCTCCACGTCCGTCTTATGCGGAAACGGGTGGAACTCAGCCAAATGCACCAATGCCCTTCTCCCTAGGGGCTCTAAAAATGCCTGAGTTCAATTTGGCTTTAAATCCCTAGTGCTTACAACTGATTATTTCTTGAAATGAAGGTAAAAGAGGTTCGCATGCACTCAAAATTTCCATCAAGTCTCTCCACCGTCTTGGGTTTTAAAAAGGAGCCTATTGCTTTGAGATCCATTGGCATGGATCATACAGAACCGTTTTAGAGAGTGGCCACTCTATGTGCATAGCAAACCTTCTTTTTTAAAGCAGGATGCCCTTTGCTAAAGAAAAACACACTGTGTTCTTAATGCCCTTATGTGATTGTTTTTTTACTCCCTGTTGTCCAGGAGAGAAACGAAGATCTCCCCCTTAGTCTGTGTCATCAGACCCTCCACTTGGAGTGCCATTTTGGCTTTATCATAGCACCTGCTCATAGTGCAGCTTTTGTTCAGCTTAAAAGTTTCTAAGAGTGGATTTTCTCCAAGGTCAACAACTTAGCCGTAATGCTAATGGAAAACCAAGGGCGGTTTTGCTGAAGTCCAGCTTAACTGTTCATCTTTCGTTGAAAACACAGAAGGGGGCAGGCCGGGCGCTATGGCTCAGGCCTATAATCCCAGCACTTTGGGAGACCGAGACAGGTGGATCACCTGAGGTCAGAAGTTTGAGGCCAGCCTGTCCACTATGGTAAAGCCCTGTCTCTAC